TAATGTAAACGTATAGGAAATAGACATCTCTGCATTCATTATAGCTAATTAACCAAAATGTATTTTATAGGTCTCTCTTTAGTTGTCAGTATAGAAAGATAAAGTAAAACAGATTGTTCAGTTTGAAGGTTTGTGGGGATTGATTGATTGATTTCAGGTTGGTATTCACCATGAACTGATATCAGTTGGAGAAACATTGGAAACCTGGAAGCACTAGACACCTGGTTCTTCCTGGTATGGGACTTCTCAGCATTGCGTACCCTTGGTCCCGACAGGGAATCTTAGAAGTCCCATACTAGAAGAAAACAAGTGTCTAGTGATCTTAGCTTTCCAATGTTTCTCCGACTGACGTGAGTCCATGATGAATACCAACCTGAAATCGATGAGACCAACTAGTCTGACAACTTTTGTAAAAAATTTGTCTTACGTAAACATAATGCAACTCACTAATTAGGCTTCTATCCCAACTTGATGTATGATGGTTAATGATGCTGATGTCCAGCTTAGAGGATTGAATGTCGTGAAATAGGCATGACTTTTTAAATCAGTATCTGGTAGTCAAGCACTTGAATAAACTAATCTAGAGCTGCTCTCTAGCAGACTTACTTCATACAGTTTCTTGAAGGTTTCAGTTGACTTCCACTGAAGAAGTAGATAAGAAAATCTTCCCAGAAGTGAAAAGAAGGCTCAGTTAGACAGAATAAAATATAAACATTTATCTCATCTCAAATTCTTTACTGAAAATCTAACGTTATCATGAGATATAATACCTAGACTTCAATTTCATTGTCAATCAGATTTTATCTGTGTGGTTTAGGACATTTTTCCGATGATTTTTCAGTAATTCTGATTGATTTTGACTATAAAGCATAGTATAGACAGCTAGTTTTGTGGGACGGTAGTTCATCATATCAGAAACTAGATATTTATGTTATGCATTACAGGTTCTACACAATGAGATTTAGCAAACTAATAGTATTACTTTCACTCACAATATATCTAGTCCATTACACAGTGCAAAACTATTCGGTAGCTCTGAGTTAATCGAATATTTAAAGCTGTTCACATCTTTTTTGTGTCTCTGCTAAGTCTGAAACTTACATTCAAATCTAGAATACACCAAAAAAATGAACTATGCAAGAACAAAGACATTTGCAGAATAAAATGAGCCAACAGCCAACAGCATACAATGGAAATGAAGTATTAGTAGTAATAATGGCTTAACATACCTTAAATATGCGGAAATAAATGAAGATCCGAAGTCCAAGATTAACAATAAAGTAGTGAGTCAAGGGAATACAAGATTAATAATTACAAATCTTAGACAAAATCAATAGCAATTTATATCTAATGAGGTAGAAAATTCTGGAGTTGTGGATGGGGAGGGGGAGACAACAAACGTGTAAAAGAAGGGACTGTTTGAAAGCTAATGGGCTGCATAGTTACACGAAAAATTGGAAAATTGTTAAGTCATTAACAATCAGAGAGTAGTTAATGAAGAGATGATGCAGTCAAAATAAAAGGGAAGACTATATACATACACATGCAAAAAATTATATACAGTTATCAAGGTATAGAAAAGTTAATTACAGTCTCTTTCTGAGTACATAGATCAGGTTGAAACATATTGATCTTTGCTTGTTGATTATCCTGAAGGATTGAGAAACATTTATTTGATGTCCCATTTCCATCAGGTGACTAATGACTGCTTTCTTAGAGATCTTGCTGCCATTCATACACAGATTTCTCGGAATATGCACGTAAAATCGAGTAGACATCCTTCTTTTGGTCCGTTATATGTACTTGCTTCCACAAGCACAAGTGAATTGATATACGCAGTTGGAGGTGATATGAGATGGGTATTTGTCTACTCTCGACTGTATTATTGAGCATATTGTATTGTAAACTGAGATCAGTCCGTCTATTCTTTCAGATGTTTCATCACCTTTGAATACTAGACGAAGGAAAACAGGCTTCTTTTCAACAGTTAGATGTTTTAGTTTCTCAATAAATTCTTTTCCATGCTTCGTGATGAATTTCTTCGAATATCCATATCTCAATTATCCCGAATTTTTCTTGTTATTTGTCTTTTGAGCACATCGTTTTTACTCTAATGAAGAAGATTCTGACAAAGGTATACTCATAGCTGAGAGGACAGAAACTATTGTAGTGAAGGTACCGATCAGTTCGTGTCTTTTTTGTGGATAGTTTTCTCAACTGTATCATCACATCTCCGTCTTATATTTAGATCTGAAAAATTAAATCTGTTCTCATTTTCATATTCCATGGTAAAATTTATATTTAGATGAGCTTAGTTAAAGGTGTCGAACAACTTTGACACATGATTCATATTATCACAAACAATGAAATTATCATCGATATCCCTGTGGTAATATGTCATTTCCTTGATTGCATGGTTAAGATATGTTTGTTCAAGATGAGCCCTGAATATATCAGTGAGGACAGATCCTAGTGGTGAACCCATAGCTAGTTTAATTAGTGAACAAAAAGGTCTTAAGGGTGCTGTTGTCATTTTTATTTGAAATACTAGTGGTTCGGTGTCACGTTGTTAATGGTTTCTTTCAGCTGAATGGATCCGACTGTCTACAGAAAGAACACTGATTTACAGAGGCTATCAATGGCTTTTTATTGGGTTTTTTTTAAACTTATTACTTCAATTATACTCTCCTGATTAGATTCAGGAGTCTGTCTACTCTATACTATCTGACATAGAGTTCAGCTGAATGCCTCAATCAACCTAAATACACTAACAAACAAGCAATATTATGTTTTATCTGGTTTTTTATTCATAATAAGCAACTTTCAGCTCTTTTTCTGGCTGATTCGCCAAGTGCAAAAAGTTGTCAACTGTCTTTTAAAAGTCGAAACTATATCTCCAAGTTTGTAATTTTTGTTATCATTAGTTCTTAACTTATCTTGCGGAAGTACCTTCATCTCTACATGTTGATGCGGTCCATGAAATTCACATTCACTTCTCATTGCCATTGGTAGTATTTGTATTATCTGTTTCTGTGTTGCTTATCTTTTCCTTACAATTTCTCGTACATTTGTGGATCAGTTTATGGGGATAATTATTGAGCAATAAGGTTTGTTTTGTATGCTTTATTTCCTGTTGTAAATGAAAGAAAAATATGGCGGGCAGCAGTAACACAGATGGTAATGATGATGAAAAGAAAATTCAAAACCTCCAAGGAGTAACTATATAAGGAAGATACCTGAGAAGGTTTACTTAGGATTCTTAACAAAGCTGGTAGAAAGGCGGCATTTAAACGTACAAATTTACTAAGAAACAAGCTTTATAGGCTAAAAGATTCTATAGGGTCCATTAGACAAAGTAATTTAATTTAACAAATGTCATGCAACAATTGTGAAGTCAAATACATGCGTGAAAGTAGTCGACTAAGGTCAATTAAAATAACAGAGCACAAAACCTTGACAAAATTTAGAATGCTAGATTAATAATAAAGTAAGGAATTTAGAGAAAAGCGCAGTCGTTACGATGCATGCGCTAAAATACAACTCCTAGATAGGATGGAATAAAGCGACAGTCCTTAAAACAAGCCTGTCAGAATAGAAGGAGAGATTGAAGCTTAACTTATCGAACTATCATCAAACATCTGCAGTGGGAATGACTCAACACCTACTTCAGATATCCGGAGAATTCCATTACCCAAATGGAGGACAACAAATAGGAGAGAAGAACTAGATCTCTAAAAACAGTGTGAAAGATGTCCAGTTACTTTTGATAGAGATGTGAACAACAAACTCACTTGGAAACATTATCCATTAAAGATACTATCTGACTACATCAAATATCCAATAAAAAAAATTTACATGATGCAGAATAATCATCATAACTTCTGAGTAAATAAACGTATTGCTCTACTTAAGTAGTCGAATGAAAGTTAACATAACGGTGACCACCTGCGCGATGCAGACTGCACGTACACAATCTATGCGTTTACAAGTCAAGCGCAGATAGAAAAAAAGTAGAGTGTGATGTTGTAGGAAAGATATCGGTGTGTACTCCACACATGTGCGCACAGATATTTCCCAATCTGATTTATATAATGTTCAGTTTGTATAACATTACTCATATCCAGTAATTTCTTGTTACTGGAATCAGTGACTGAAGACTTTTGATGGTGTGGTGTGGCTGAAAATCGGTCATGGTGACATAGATGTATTCACTCTTTGACCTCTTCTAAAACTTGAAAATTTTCACTAACTCTGATTTTCAAATTCCTTCTCTTCTCATACAGCTTTGTCTACTGTGTTATCAGTTTCTACTATCCACTTGTTGTTCGTTTGCTACTGTGAAGTGTGACAACATTGCACCGATGTATTTGTGTGACTGTTTCCATGTTGATTATTTCTGTCTGGTAGTTTCCTGTAATTTGATAGTGTATAAGACGACAGTAGGAGGAAAGACAAAAGTAATAACACAAAAGAAAATAACCACATGTAATATGATGTGCTTCATGTTTGATACTTGTAATCCTTTGCTGATGCATCGGGTCGAATTGCTCAGCCTCTGTTGACAGATGGGCTCAAATATGGATACTAGCTAACGAGTCCCAAACAGGACAAAACGCGCGACCTGGATTCTACTGCTAGCCACCAAGCAGTTTACAACATAATAAGCAGTCATATAGTATCGAGGTATCTGTACAGAAAACCATCTGCCAACACAGGTCAAGCAATTCAACTGTGTATAGCAACGGGAAATTACAAATATCAAGCAACACCTGATACCCGTTGTGGAGTAGATAACTCTAGTTCCCCGGTGATCTAGTGATAATGCTCTGGAGTTTGAAGCCATAGGTACTGGGTTCAAGTTTCAGTGAGAACAACACCATTCACTAGGGTGCACAGAGATCCACCTGACGAGTTCATTGCTGGTCACCGAGTATAAGAGTTGTAATTCATACACGTAATGCATCAATTAACAACTCCTTTTATTTCTATTTCCTGCATAGATTTTATTTGCAATTGGATTCGTATTCTATGGTATAGATGCTTTTATTCTATTTTCATACTATCGACTAAACGGTGGCTATGTAAATGATCCTAAAACGAAGCAACGACCCAATTTACCTCCAAAAATAACTCAAACATTGAGTTCAGTGAATACGACGACAACAATAGCATCATCAACAACAACAACACCAGCAACATCTGTATATCTTAATAATGCCTTCGAAAAAGAATAGCTGATAGGGTTTTCAATACTGATGGTAAGTTGTGCTTCATTTAGTGTACATGCATGTAATGATATGTTGCAATCTTACACTAAATGAATGGATAAGAAACGTCTGCAGCAACACGGATGTGTTAAAAAATAGTACAGTAAATTGATGGTAGTACTTGTTCAACTAAATCAGTTAACCAAGACTGAATGTTTTCTTAACCTAATAGCTTATGATCCTAGTTATCTAACAACTTAAACAGCATGAGAAAAAAGTTGAAATGCACTCAACAACCTTGTGTACATTGGTACACAGGGATTATTAGTATTACCTTGCTGCTGAAACCTTGGCAGGTGGTGTAGGGTTTGAATGCGTTACATATTGGTTGAAAGTCAACTCCCTAAACTAATGACCTATAGCTCCACGCAAAAGTATGTGTTATTATTCATTATTATTTCGTTTTGAAGCTAGTTAATGTTGAGTATGAATAAGGCCTAAAGTATATAATAATTAAAAGAAAAGGAGTTACAAATTGTACGTATGAACAGTTGTCCAGTAAGTAGTACTGATATGCTTTCAATGCTTCTGTGGCTGTGATAAATATCACTTGATAATAAAGCTACAGAGATAGTCAAACAATGAACACTGCAGTGCTTTGAACTTTGAATGAGGGATTTTATTAATTTAACCCCAATAAGTCAAAACTCCATTATAACTTTCAGTCGAAATGACTTCAAGAAGTGATATGTTTAAACAGATAATCACTAATTAAAGGTGAACAGATATGAATAGCACAAACTGATTGGAATTAATCACATCTATCAAAGAAATACATCGACTGTAACATCTAGATTTCGTTTTACCACACTACTCAATAGAGAATTAAGTTCTATGTTGCTTGTATTGTGTTCTCTGAGCTGGGTTGTTTAATCGTCAAGCTTTCATCATCTTCCTAGACGACATCATCAGCACTAACTTCAGCATGAAGTGAGCTGTCAGTATCTTTCCGTGAGTGATTTAGTGGCTTGCCCTGACGATGTGGTCTGTGATTGGTTGTTTCCTTCGATTGTTGTGTCACTGACTGTATAGACTTTCCTATTAGCTGTTCCTCTGCTTGACCTCTGACCTTTCTGTCGTTTGTCATTTTTCTTATTGGTTGGTAGATTGGGTCTGTGTCTATACATCTGTTGATTGCTGACTGACCTGAATGCCAAGCTTCTAGGAATTCCCTGATATTCTTTGTGTTTCCTCTGTCCAAAATTTCTCCATTATCTCAACTAAGTTCGACACATACATATCGCTCAAGTATTACTGTTCAGTAATATGGAATGTTAACTTTAACAAAAATAACCAATATACATTGAGAGACGTGCAAGTTAACACAAAACCTTGTACAGAAGTGAAGCGTTTCAAGATATCACAATTGGCAACAGCACACAAGGAGGTAAATATAAAAATAATGTTATTCAAGGGAGATAAAACTATATGAGAAGAGAGAAGATAATAAATGGAACCTAGAACATGATTAAACGTGAAAATATTTGCTCCATTGTAATCGATTTCAAGGCAGTGCACTAATACTAGGTTCCTAAAGTGTAGGCATTCACGAGAGGGATATCAGAGAAAGCTTGCGTAGGATTCTCAGTAGTGCTGGAATTAGTGTAGTAATCAAACTTACCAATTCACTCAGACACAAACTTTGTTGGGTTAGAAAGTCTGTTCGTCAAACCTGACAAAATAGTTTAATTTGCCAAATGCCTTACAATGAGTGTTAGGTCAAATGCATTGGACAAACTAACCTGTCGGAGTCAGTCAGGTAAGCAGAAAATAGGAACCTAGTTAAGCCTAGGTTGTTAAACCTTAACGGAAGTGAGTAATTTACAGGAGAATTTACTTACTATGCATGCGAAATCACACAACAGTATGGAACAGAGTAACACTCCGAAAAACTTATATGGTTGATCAGAAAGACTGGTTGATCACCGAATCTCTGTTCATCGATTTCAACACTTAGCACACGTCCCGAAAATCCCAAAATGAACCGATATTTTGTGACCATTGATTCTCAGTCAAATATTCTACACCGTCTAGATCAGTCAGAAAAGTGGTAAACTGGCACTAAGTTTTGGGTTGCTTTAACCCTTCTTCTAACCTAATTTTACTCTCCGCTTAGAGGTAGGCAAATCAGAAGACTCAAATAAACTTAACAGCAGTATTACTGAGGTTGAATCCTGGTTACTTTAGAAAAGTGCAACAAGCCAGCAGGTATTTGATTATGTCTGCGCGTAAAACGCACTTAGCATGTGACAGAATCACCAAAACAAATATGTTGACATTTGACATAAGGCTTTCGTTGAGTAGAACTCAGTCAACTGACAGGGTTATTGATGCGTATAAAATTAGTTGCATAAGTTATCTTTGGCTTGAAAATTAACTAGTACTTCCTGCCAGTGACGACATACATGCACGACTAAACCCTAAATGTTGATGATTACGGTTGAGTACCCTAAAACACTTAGCGTAAATGGCTGAAAGCATACCCAATGCCACTAAAAAGTGGTCGAATGGTATGACTGATATGTTGCTGCTTGTAATTCCCCGTTGTTGACTGGATCGAAATGATCGGCTACTATTGGCATATGGACTCCTGGGTGAATTCCTCGAAATTACCAGTAGTTTTAGTTTGATAGCAATGATAAACAGTGAGCAGCAGTGAGGTTTAGGACGCGTGTTTCGCCGTATTCAGGACTCGTCAGCTGAATGTGCCTGGCTCCCAGTGAGTGATATTGTTCTCACTAAGACTCGAAGCTAGGACCGATCGATTCAAGCGCCAGAAGGTTATGCACTAGGCAGGAAATTACAAGCAATAACAAAAGCTATACCATATCCAAAGCGCGAGCGGTGGTTAGTGTGGTCGGTCATGGCTTCGAGCCCTAGTGGAAACAGCAACAATCACTGGGAAGCAGGTATGTCCACCTGAAGAGTCCCGAATAGGACGAAAAACGCGTCCTAGACACCGCCCACCATTACTATTAAATGGCATAAGTGGCATGCTTAAGTTACTGTAAACAAATCTATACGGTATGTTGACTCGTTACATAACCAGCAGATTTCTGTATTTTTTCTTTTTTTTATCATTCAGAAATTCGTCTTTCAGGCCAAATAGAACGAAAAATCCATCAATCTTCATGTTTCAATGTGGTGTCGTTGTCTTCTTCCACCCCCCCCCACCCCCAATTCAACACCTTATAAGCATAGATTTCCTTACAATTGACATTATTAGTACTGACGTTTTATTGTTGAGAAGAAACAGCAATTTCTCCTACAATTATCCTATCCTTAATAAGTTTATGTTTCATCTTATACTTGAAAACTGTACTTTGATATGCATTTACCGCTCACATTTTCTGCTGATCAGGTCAACACAGTTTCTGTTTAGTCACCGATGCCAAAGTATTTACTGATTTGGTTTTATTTCTTACGATGAAGTATGTGTCAGCAGACCATCTGATCTATCTATTCAAGTTTCTGTCATAAAATACAAATTGAACAAACTAATTACAGTTTATTTATATTCATCATGTTGCGAAGTTTTGAATTACTCATGTATATACAGTTATTAAACTTTCAACGGTTGGGAAGCTCGCTTCACTTACTGCAGCCACATGGTATAATTGACTGATCACCTAGCGCATAAAATTGTACATGATTGTTGAGCAATTTTCTTCGCACCACGCATGTATTCGCGTTACTTCCATTACAATATAGCAAAAATGAATAAAAAAGCGAAGTACTAAGAGGCATTAGCCCAAATGAGTATGTCAACTGAGAGGTTAATTATTCAACATTGAAATTAACTTCAATAGTGAATGTTTATTTTTTGTGAATGCAGTCTAACTTCAATATCTTTCTCAATATAAATTCGTCTTTTATGTCCTCTTGTGTCTACAATATCGGTGGGAAACTTCATAAACATTCAATTCTTTAATATTAGTAAAAACAGAAGCTTAAAAAGCGAGTTAGTTGATATAATGGAAACAGTTACAACTTTTAAACACCAGTGAAAATTTCGTAGTACACACTGAGCCTGAAGTATTACTAAGTTTACATCACCTAAATAACTTGCTAGGTCATCAGTCGATGATTAAAATCATGTAACTTTTTTTCAAAGAACTCAACTATCCATTCATGTGTAACTCAGTGGTATTCACACTTCAAGTTCAAAATCCTGAGTTCAGCTTGATACGCGCAGTAAATTTGACATCACATCGATTGGTAATTGGAAGATAAACAACTTTATGTTGTCTAGTTTTAAGTGCTAACCGCATTTTACTGATCATTTTGTAATGTTACTAAGCTAAGAGACTGACCATCGCGACGCATTGAAATAGATGTTACTTAGATGGAGGCAATAGACAGGAAATCCTAAAACTAGGTTTCGTACTTGATAGCACTCATCACCAAGGCGTATCTGGAACCTGCACGGAAATGTTTCGTTTGAGACTCGAACCTGCCTCAATCATTATTGCTGTCAGAGACGTTATCACTGGGCTATTCGGGCTGCAACTGGCCTACTCCAGGACTGGATTGGGTACATTGATTGGTCCTGCCGATTGCCTCCAACCAAGTGACATCTAAGTTGAAATCAGTTGGCCCACATAACCATTAACTGAAGACTGCCAAATGTATCACTCCTTTTTTTATCAGAATTTATAATTGAAATAGGGTACTGATCAAGATTATACGTACGCGTAGTGACCTCGGTAAAAGAACGTAACCATGTTTCTACAGTTCAATAATTCAGTTGTCTTTAGTAGTCAACGATAAAATTTTCCCTGTTGACTACTCTTTATAAAGTTTATTTTGAACATTTTTGGAAAATAACAACACTAGTGAAACATTTGTCCAAAAAATTAACATATGAAAACATTTTTTCTTTTTATACAAAAGGGCAGTTTTAATCCAGCAATTACAACCGATGACGATGTTGACTTGTGACCTTCAGTTCATATCGATAAAGCCAACAATGGAAACCAAACGGTTGTATATCTTGAAAGCCTAAAATTAATTTGACAAACAGAGTATAGTGAAAGAGTATGATCGTTGTAAAAACAAAGATACTAATGACATTTATCGACCAGCTCTTTGTTTCTTAGAGGTGAGGTTAGTTACTCAACAAGCCACAAATATATCTTGTTAACACCACTCCCAACTAGTGGAGCCAAGGTTCAGTGGTTTAGGGAGATGACTATCAACCATTGAGACGTTAGTTCAAGCTCAAATCCAAATACTGAGGTTTTGGCTGCCAGGTAGTATCATTAACCTTCAACAATGGGTGTAGCTCATTGCCCACTGCACGAATGTGCACAAGGTGGCTGAGTGAGTTTCACTTCTCGCTCGTATTATCAACTATGCAAAAACATCAAATATTCTCTACACAAATGTCAAAAACTTAATTCTGATTGCTTATGATCCAATTTAGACCGGCAAAGTGATACAAACAATCCCGTGCACTACAGCTAAAAGCCACAGCTAATATTAGTTGCAATACAGATCATCATAGCACTGATAAAATAATGCACCTATGTTAAGTGCAGTTGTTTTGTCGGTGTCTGATAGTAGGAGTCAGTTGGCAGGAAGCCCTGTTTGACTTTGTGCTTGTTGGCACTCATTAATGAGGTGCAACTGTCAAAATGAGTGAAATGGTGTTCTCCCAGTGGTTTGAACCTGCGTTCTTCAGTGAAATCATAGGCTTAAACACTAAGTGAAGCACACCATGACTCCATTCATCCAGATCAATCTAGGACCAGGCATTACTGTATAACGATCAGAGTTGCCACACCTCATATCACTACATCAAGTAAAAAGGCAGTGAGGCGCAAGATGAAGATAAGAGAATGCAGTCAGAAGAAATATAAAGTACGAGAAGACAGAAACGAAGAATGAGAAGATAGAAGAGATTTGGTATAGCGTCGTTAAGGTGAGGATAATGTGTGTAAATATCTGCGCCACTGACATCGGTTCTCAGCCATGTCATCACCCAGACTCTCCAACCACTGGTTCCTCTTGTCCCGCAGACCCCAACCACCCAGTCTGCATCGCCCCACATGGCTCAAACCAATAGTCAGAAACTTCATACATTGGTGCCATTTTTTAGTCTGACCACCTCGAGCCTTTTTCCAGCCTGGACCCACATCAGCCAACATTGTGTGACGAGGCAATCGGTGACTAGGCATACGTAGTACGTGTCCCAAATATCTCAGTCGATGAAGGTTCACAACCTTGTCAACTGACTTACCTCTTCTCCCTAAAACTCTACACCTAACTTCTGCATTACTCACATGGTGACACCACGGAATACGTCCTATACTACGAAGGCAACGGTGGTCAAACACTTGAAGCCCCTTTCATGTCTCCCACTTTCAATGGCCATGTTTCACAGCCATACAGTAGAACAGAGCGGACTGCTGTGCAGTACACGCGACCCTTAATAGACAAACGAATATCACGGCGGCGCCATAGGTGGCGCAAATTGGCAAAAGCCAATCGAGCCTTTTGTATCCGTGCAGAAATCTCATCGGCAACTAACCCACCAGGGTTGATCCTACTTCCCAGGTAAGTGAAGTGGTCAACACACTCAACCACTTCACTCTCTATTGTTAACCGCGGTACCGCTGAAGACCAGTCCTGGAGCAAAAATTTGCATTTGGGTGGTGAAAATCGCATCCCAAACATTCTCAAATTCCCACTCAAAGTGTTCAGAAGACTCTGCATCTTGTCAGCGTCTTCACCTAACAGGACTATGTCATCTGCATATTCTAGATCTAAAGAAAATTCACCTGTGATCGGGTCAACGTCTTGTAATTAGGTGACGAGAGGGAAACCTCCATAAGAATATCTATGATAAAATTAAATAAGAATGGGGATAGTGGGCATCCTTGACGGACACCACTTGATGAGTATAGCTCCCTGGACAACTCACCATAGGCTCTAACATGCCCACAAGTGTTCGAGTAGAGAGCTTTCAATAAGGTGATGTACTTACTAGGCACGCCTTTCAGTGACAGACATTGCCATAAGACTTCTCGATCAACGGAGTCAAATGCCGCCTTCAGGTCGAGAAATACAGCTATTGTCGGGCGTCTGTAAGCATGCCTATGTTCCAGGACCTGGCGCAGTGTGAATATTTGGTCGATACATCCACGGCCAGGTCTAAAGCCTGCCTGGTTTTCTCGGGCTTGCTGTTCCCGAGCTCCACTCAGGCGTCGGAGAATTATAGAACTTAGGATCTTAGACACTATGTTTGTCAGGCTGATTCCTCTGTGGTTATCACAAGAGGACTTCTCGCCTTTCTTGAAGACTGGGATGATGAGTGACTTAGACCAGTCGGAGGGGATCGTATTTGATTCCCATATACTGGCTAACACTTCCGTTAGCCTGACTAAGAGAACTCTACCACCATTCTTGTATACCTCAGCAGGTAGTCCGTCTGGTCCTGCTGCCCTTCCCGTTTCAGGCTACCTACCGCTTTCTCAACTTCTTCTAGTGTTGGGGGACCTGTCTCTATGTCCCATTCAGGGTCCGACTGGATAGCGGGCAGCGCAATCGTGGCTGGAGGCCAGTTAAACTGTTCCTCAAGTGTTCTGCCCATCGTCCCAGTCGCCTCCCCTGCGAGTGAATCGCAGATCCGTCCTTCTCCGCTATAGCCTCACTAACTGTTGTTGACCATTTCCCCCAGTCTCCTTAATAAGTCTAAATAACTGTCTACTGTTACCGATCGCCGCTGCCTTTTCCATCTCTTTAGCCTTCGCTGCCCACCACTGTTCACGATCGTTGCGCAGACTTTTCGTCAGTCTATTTTTAAGTTGCGCTCGCTCTTCATTGTACTCAGAGCCTGCAGGGATGCATTCACGTGCATCCATTAGTTTGGAAGAAGCTGCTGATATCCACTGGCTCTTTTTAGCCATCTTTCGGAGTCGGCTACAGTCTTCAGTGCTGCTTTTACAGTAGACTGAAGATGGCACCAAGCTTCTTCTGGATGAGTGACAGTCTTTTGTTCCGATAACTGCCTAGCCAACTTCTCACTGAACACGGCTTTGGTGTTTTCGTTGTCCAGCAGAACTCGTAGTGGTTTTGTTGCCAAATTTTTTCTACGTCCATTGAGACGCAGGCATATACGTGCTCGGACCAACGCATGATCGCTGTCCAAACACGTACTCCAGAAGGAGCGGCAGTCTTCCACCGATCCTCTCCAGCGATGACTAATAGCAATGTGGTCTATCTGTGTCCATCGCTGAGTTGAGCTCGGTGGACGCCAGGTCAGACAGTGCCTTTCTTTATGTCTGAAATTGTGCTGGCTAAAAATAGGCGGTTATCTGAGCATAGTTGTAATAGGCGATCACCGTTATCTGTACGTTCAGCTGGGATTCCGAAAGTGCCACCTAAGTGCCTTTCTGCCTCACTCAGTCTACCCACCTGTGCGTTGAGGTCACCTGCAACAACCACTACGTCCGAACGTTTGGCTTTCGAGAGGAGGTTAGACAGTTTATGGTAGAACTCGTCCTTCACTTCATCCGAACTGCAGTCAGTGGGTGCGTAAGCAGAGATTACAAAGAGACAACGGCGAGTCTCACTATTCCTTTTAGTTCTCACTGTGCCGTTCAGCCTCATAGCGCAGAGGCGACTATCAACTGGGATCCAGTCTAGTAGTGAGTTTTCTGCCCTGGTGCTTAATGCTATACCTACACCTGCAAGACCACGAGAGCTAGCTATCGAATCTCCAGAAACTCGAAGGGTGAATTTTGCGGATTCACCAGATTGGTCAGGAGAGGTCAGGTGAATAACCACACTTGGGTCCTGTATGCGTGTCTCACAAACACAGCACACATCCATGCCCGAGTTGCTAGAGTCTTTGCCAACGAAGCCTGTTGGCCAATTTGACGGAGGGTGCGGACATTGAAGGCTCCAATATGTAATTTGGAGCGTGGTTTAAGGAGACCAGGGGTGCTGTTCTGTGGACTCAGATCGTTGTCGAAGGCTGCAGAGGTAGGAGAAATTGAAGATGATGCAGCATCATTAATTAAGAGACGTGAAGGAAGATTAGAAGGTAATGATGGAGGAGGAGGATAGCAGTCAGAAGAAACTTGGGTGCTGACAGAGTTGTGAGGGCGGTTGACACTTCCCGGCTGCCCACACCGTGGAAGGCTATTTCTTCTTAAGGTACCTGAAAGAGATTTGTGTGACCGCAGAGCCCATCGGACATCTGCTTGAGGCCTGTCACACACAGCCTTTTGAGTATGATTATTTTGATTTTTTATTTTTTGGGGCCGGATGGTCGAAAGGAAACGACAAGTGAACCAACACCGCCGGCCCGGCAGACCGTGGGGCATGGTGGAGTGTGTTATTTTTGGGGCCGACCTTTTCTAACCCCCCCTTCCACTGAGAAGGCAGCATCAGCATGGCACTGCTGGTCATCCAAGGGAAACACCTTACTGCTGTCACACCCCATCCAGCTAACAGCAGTACGACTTCGCCCTCAGACCCCCATCATAGTGTAGCAATTTACACTACAGAGGGAACTGCTTTTCGTCTAACCACTATCCAACAGACCTTTCTGGTATGGTAGAACCTCGAGGGAACAAGTGTTTTACCAGCATAGCTCGTTGGGTCATTGTGATATGAAAGCCCGACCACCACATCAAGGTAGCAGCTATCGGTCAAGTGCCATGACTGACCAATAGACGTCGATCATTGCTAAGCACTCACGACCAGGTTACCCCGAAGTGACCAATTCGTGCTCAGTTGTTTATGCACAACGTCGTCTGAGGTATTGCCCCAGTGACCTAGTGAACAACGCTTTGTGACTCACTGGTTTAGGGAGATGACTACAAACCAGTGGGTAACAGGTTAGAAACACATCCACTTGCAGAGGTTTGGGCAGCCAGGCAGTATCACTAGACATCACATAGTAGGTGTGGTTCATTACCTAGTGCGCGAATGTGCTCAAGGTTGCTGAGTGCACTTAGACTTTTCTATGAGGCACATTTATTGTCTGAGAGTTTATGACGCCAAACCAAAGTAGACAATGCTGGGTTTGAACCAAAAGAGAAATACTTCACGTCAGTGTTACAAAATGTTATTACGAAACATAGTAAGGCATTACTCTATGAAAGTTATTTTTTGGTTACAACGTTATCGAAATAATGTGCGTAAGTGTATTAGTCGCAAATTCTGTTGATCAACTTAAGGTTATGGTTACTAATTTTAGAATGCTATTGAGCAGAAAGGTAGGTAGAGATGACTGTCATTTGGTGAACTGATACAAAGTATGAATACTTAATAATGTGGACTTGTCATTCATGAAACATCTCTGATCCCCACTCATATTTGGTCTTTCCCAAAACACTGTTTAAAAATTTTTCCTGACAAAAAACTGGGCAAGCTTACCTCATTAAGTGCGACTTTTGACGGTAGGAAATTCTGTCTATGAATTCTTAATGGACTCTACAAGTCAGATATCCAGAGAAACCAAAATCTTGTAAACATACACACAAATTGTGTTTATACTCCAGGCATATATGTACGGCATGAATCTGAGTTGCACAAGCAAGGTGTAGTTGATAATCGCATTTTGTCATCTGGTACAGATTGAGCATAATCATACGATAATTGTGTGCCCGATGGAATAGTTTTGTTTGCAAATAACGCCAAATAAGGAATAAAACTGTCAACTCGAACAGGCATCACTGTTAGATTGGGCGTACAGGAATGATTAATTAGGCATGCTTTCGATTTCACTGAACCCCATGATTCCGGATTTCCATCAACACATGTCTCTGAAACAAGACGATTTTCACTGTATTCACGCATTATCATAATATAATTACGACCTTGGCAGGAAAGTTGACGAGATTCTCTTAAACAGGCTTCCTCATATGGGATTACTTCACCCAAATAAACACAAACAAGTTCCCCCTGTTGTATGTCGTTGATAGCCTTTAAACCTCTACCCATAACTGAATAGTTGCTCACACAAGTTTTAGTATGACGATCAGACTCAAATGATATCTGAAAATCTTTCAGATAGTTCTGGACTACACGGTTAGCACACGATTGACTGCAAGTACATTCACTGTTGCATTCAAAAACAGGTTTGACAAAATCAACTAGTAGTCCATTCAAATCATATGATCTCCCAGATTTTGATAGACAAGAACATCCACTATTTAAACTGCAAATATCTTCACAAACACATCCAGGTAATTGTTCGGTAATCAGACTAAGTGGAATGTCCTCATGGTATAATAACTCCATATGTTCAAAAAAACCTATGAGTATTTAAAAAGATGGTTGAGAAACTGTGAGTGAATATGCTTAATTACATTATGAAAGAAACTATTTGTGCTACTATTGAACAAATTTGGTGTAGACGTAGTAATAATGTGGATGCTTCAATAGTGATCTGCACCAACTTCGAATTTAAGGATACGCAGTGAGTCGGCGGAATGCGTTGACTTCACTTACTTGTGGAGCTGCATTACCTAGTTGCTCAAAAATTCCAGCTCGGATACAGAAGGCTCATTCGGCACTTACCAATTTGCATCATCTCTGTTGCCGACTCGCGAGATGCTTGATTATCTATTAATATAGCTGTGGGACATGGTCGTTAACAGTAGAAGACATGAAGCGGTTACATGCTTTTAACCGGATGTCTTTATAAAATTGCTTGCGTACATTAGGACTAACTAGTTAGCCGAAAGGGTACTGGGCAAAGAAGGTAAGTCAGTAGATGAATTTGTGAACTTCAAAGACTGAAGTGGCTTAGAGACGTGCTGCGCACGCCAAACCAACGCCTACCAGGATGAGCAATGACACAGGATGTTAGATTTTATTGGAAGAGGGTTCACAGTGTCCAGATCAAGATGTGGCGAGTCCATGAAGTTCCTAACTGTTGGTCTGAGCCATGTAATGAGGGAGGTGTGAACTACCTGGTTGGGGTCACCGAGATTATAAGAGTCCGCGGTTGAGGTCTCTTCATGAAATGGCCAAACACCGGTCACAGTGGCACAGACATATTCACTCTTTAATGTCTTTTAAATCTTGAATGTATTTGCTAACATAAATTTCCTCTCCTCTGTACACCTTTTTCTACTTTGATATAAGACTTTCTCATCCACTCGCTTTTGTATTCAACTGTGAAGGGTGGTAATTGTGTGCGAGGTTCCACGTTGATTTTGTCAGTCAGTGTCCTTAAGAATTAAACTTTGACGGCCGGAAATAGACATCAGGTTCATAAAGGTGGATATTAAGTAGAGACCAACAGATTAAAACGGTGACGGAGTCGCAATTTATTTAACTTCATGATTTAGTGGATACAGCGAACTTACTTGGAATTAAGTGGTAACGTATACAGAATTAAATTTTGTGATAAAATTTTAGGGTATGCAACCTATTACTATAGTATACTGCTGCCCCTTGGCAATTACTAACTAGTAAGCAGAAAGAGTGACTCTAGCATTTACCGTCAACACTAGTCTCAACTTTATTAGCTCTGCATCAACAATTACACAATTTTGATTGGTGTGACTCATTACTATTATTATCACCATCATTACTACTACTCATTTCCATTCTATTCAGGCAAATTGAATGTCACCTGTGACCTTTTCTGTCTGATATTTACAATCAAGAATAATATGAATGGTAACGCACACACACAAGCCATACAACAAGATACATACAATTTTACACTGAATGACTAGTTATATTTTAGAAGGACAATGACTATACGAAGAGGATTGGACAAGGAGATTGAATACACATCTTTAAATTTATCTGTAGACCCTCGATATTCCTATTTTTATTAATTCCCTGAAGCTCAGACCAGACCAGATAACAAGTTAGTTGAGTTCGTATTTCTAAGAAAACCATTTAAGATTGCTAGACCCTTTTATCTCTATCTTATCATACGAAAACAGATATCCTTATCCTGGCACTTCGCATCTTCAATGACGATTCAGGTGTTGTCGCTTTTTAAACTTTCTTAGGTTTGGTCATCTCAAATTTTATCACAAAAGAGATCAACATCCACAGTGAGTGAATTCAGTGTGAAACCTACATTTCATCACGTGCAGCCAACGAAATAAATTCCTTACTGGATATATTTAGAAAATTAAGTATTAATATTATGAACCTACGTAATATTTGCGGATATGAAGGCGGTTTCAAGCCACTTCATATATATATGACCGGTGTTGCGTCACTTGAAAACTGCTCGTAAAGCACTAGTATTTTGAGAAATACGCTGACCTAGCCAAAGGATGTAAGAGATTGAAGAGATGCAGTGAGGCTACTGCACAAAGATGATGTTTGCTGACAACATTAATACGAATGGAAATAAACTGAAACTTGTATGACGACACTAGTTTTTTTTAAGATATATGTATATTTTAGCTCTACCATACCCAATTGTTTTTGCGGATAAATGTGACGAATTCTCACCTACACCTGCTTACTTGGAACATATGAATTCCGCTGAGACATACACTCTGATTACGGCTTGCTCTACACTGAACACAGTTTCCTTATTGGGTGATTAGCATGGCGTGGAAACTACATGCACATACCTCAGGGACATACTACATTAGGAATGTACAGTGGTTCTGAGACTTCCTTATTTTACTGTCACATCACATCGATCATCATTTCCATCGATGAAGTACCCCATAAGTTACTTATTAATAAGATAATGCATGTAATTCATTCTGCAATGCTGTACTGAACTTCTATACTTTTATTCTGTGTACGACATCCGCGCAAGACTTGGAATCGCTACAAACATCAAGAAGTAAGCATGAAGAAGCACAGTAGTTTGAACAAGCTTGTTATTTAAAAATGGGACCTAAAATTTTGCATGTACTGATACACTACTCATAAGTGCTCGGATGTGGACTAGTTACCATGTTCATTACCACCGATGACTGTAGGTTACTGAACCCTCTCACTACACAGTTTTGAAAAGATGTGAAGAAGGATAAAATTATGATTGCAAACTGAGGATACATATGTATGTGGTAGTCATATATGACACTCAGGAGTGCCTGGGCACATTATAGTCAACTGCGGACAAAGACGGGCGCAGGGTGAGTAATGGTGATGGCAGTCACATTGGGTACCCTTCGGACTGATTCTGCGGCAAATAAACTCGGGGTGCCTTCAAGTAACCTAACCCTCTTTCTAAAGTCTCCAGAGCTTCTTGCAGACCATTTGTTGAGGCTTTTTTACTTTTCGATAATCAAATTACACCACGTCAATGAAGACACTGGGAACTGAAAAGCGTAAGGGATGGAAGTGGCATAGACTTCACTTGGTTTGACATATCTGTGCCGTCAGTATACAAACCCAGTCACCATTCACTTCGAGGGTACTTTGTAAACTTGGGGGGCACTTACCGATCTGGAGCCTTTGGGAATACTTTGGAACTGTTGACACTTTCGTGGATAAACTTTAGGCACACTTCTAAACTTTTGACAGCCTTGGGGTATACCGTGTGTCTCCCCGTTCTAGCCTGGAGTAAGTTTTTCGAGCGTTTGCCCAAAACTTACAAAGTGCGCCAGAAGTGCTGGCTGGGAAGCCTCATATGTTGCAGACTGTTGAGTTTGAGCATCACTACTTCCAGAATTGCAGTGACATACGTGGTGCGCAGTATGTGACTGGAATAGTGTAAGATGATTAGTAGTTAGCTATAACAACAGGAAACGGAAACGCAAAAAAGGTGTTTGACGAAGTGAATATAAAAAAACTGTGGACTAGGAACCAAACGTCAGCAATCAGCCACACGCCAATCCTTCAAAGCTTGACGTTTAAGGCAGCATGTTTAATGCGGCTACATAACTGTAACGCTATTGGTACAAACATGTTACTGGACTAACGTGAATCAACAGTAACGCCACTATTCAATCCCAGCTCCATTCAGATGCTACAATAGTTCAAACTGGTGGTGAAACTTCAAACGTCATACTTCAGAAGCAGCAAACAGTGTTCCTTTGGATTCAGCATCTATTCCAATGTAATGCATTAGTTGATTGACACGGTCAGTTGTTCCCTTATTTCAGAGAAACCTGTAAGGACGGATAACTGGTTAGTTATTTAATTAATCAGTTCGCTATAGGTAGAGCTGCTATCTACGATTTTTAAGATGACATGTGACTATTTGAGTACAGCTTATCCGTGACACAGGACTGTGAGTGCAAAACCAACCTTTCGAGAATGTCAGAGGGAGTCAGGAAGTGAGTTCCACAGCTTATTTCAAGCACTCTGGTAGACAATTGAAGCGGGTAAACTTGAACAAGTACCTTAAAGTTTATCATTCAGTGGAAGACAATGGTGGATACAAAGCTTGCAAACGGTAGCGATTCACAACCAATTTTACTGGGCAGCTGTTCTGTAGCATCAAAAAATTGATGTTGCATGATCTTCCAGTTGAATATCCTTGCTACCAATCATTTAGGATAGAGTTCCTAAGTAAATAATGATTACATGGGTTAATCACTACCCTTTCCCTGACCCTCACGATCGGAGGGGTCAAGGAGATTGGTCTATGTTTAAAGGTGAGTGGCTTACTCCAACTTATGTATACTGGAACGACAGTCACTTGTTTTCAGTTGGTGGCCCTTCTGGAAGTGGATGTCTGAAGGGGTTCCCTACTGGGAGGGTTGTAACATCGGCACACTTTTGAGGGCTGCCAGACGAATGCCTTCAATTTATGATGAGTTACTAGGAATTACGCGCCTCTAAATTACCGTGATATACAGTGACCCCTCTGCATTTCGAGTTTCTACCTGGTGTGCGGTTGTCCTTTCCACATGTAGCGTCACACACTTCCCCAAAATCAACAGCCTAGGGTTTGACCACCTTCGACAATGGCGCTGACCTTGATAGTTTAACTGGACTCGCTAAGCTGAAGGCACCCGGTCAAGCATCCTCGCCATTTGGCACGCTGTCGTGTTGCGTTGCACCGCTCGTATTCGACTCTCTAGCCAGTTAGTTGGAACGCATCGGTATTTTGGCACAACCATCCAAATATACTATTCCATCCGACTACGCTATCGTGTTCTTCCTTGGTCTCGTATTCGTGGGTATATAACAAGTTCGAATAATTAGTGATTGGTCTTTGCGTCTGTCAAGTTCGCACCAGGACAAATCCTAAATTGGTGAGCCCGACGTGATTACAGATCCCGACAATAACAAATATTGAATTGGTGAGCCTGTTCCATTTTATATTTGTTTATTGTTTTCATTTCGATAACATTTATATATCCATTTACTACACTTTCTCATGTCCGACCACACTCCCAAGCTTATTCGTATTAAGCCGACCTCGAACACGATCCAACTCGTGCCATATTGGCCAGACAATGCAGAAACATGGTTTCTGTATGCCGAGGCAAATTTTCGAGAACAGGGTGTCTCAGATCCTCATTCTCGATTTCTTGCTGTCATACGGTCACTACCGCGAGAATTAAACAGGTATGTTACAGCAAAGATGTTTAATCCTGAAGTAAGTGATCCTTATGCACTTCTAAGGCTGCGCCGTTGAAGAAAAGCGATCTCACAGATCGCCAACGTCTAGACGAATTGCTTCGTAACATCGAGCTAGGCAGCCACTCAGCTACTGAAGTCCTCGCACGCATGCGAGAAGTAATCGGTGCACGAACATTTGACGATGGTTTTCCGAGAACTATTTCTCTCGAAACTACCACAACCGGTGCAAACCGTGTTGGTGACACTGCAGTCAGTCCCACTCGATGACCTGGCAGCCTCAGCAGATAAAATACTGGAGATTTCCAGCAGACCCGTCTCCAACGTATATTCTATCTGTGACAAACCAGAGCGCCAGGATTCAGAGGTGACCAAGTTGTGCAACTCTGTGAAACGGTTGCTACGATCTCGAAGTCCTAGATCACGTAGCACTTCACAGAAACGCACCTTGGCGCATCGCAGCAAGTCGCGTGGTAGCCCTAAAACTAAACCTAACAGGGTGGAAAACCCTGAATGGTGCTGGTTTCATAACACTTACGGAGACGAAGCCAGAAAATGTCGTAAACCATGCCGTTTTAAGAAGGACACAAACTCGGGAAACGGTCACGCCGGCACGTGCTCACGGCAACCGTAGCCGGCGGAAAAAGCCGTTTGCTCTACGTCACCGACATTAAAACGAAAGTCCGCTACCTCGTCGACACCGGCGCAGAAGTTAGCGTTCTTCCAGCAACGACAAAGGAGCGTCATCACAACCATCCTTCAATCTTCAAGCAGCCAACGGCAAGGCAATCGCGACATTCGGGAGACAGTATGCCTACCTCAACTTAGGTTTACGCAAACCTATTCACTGGATCTTCCTCCTGCTGACGTCTCTATGCCCATCATTGGCATAGATTTGCTAAACCATTACGATCTACTCGTAGATGCTCGCCGTCGACGACTGATAGATAACAACACAAAGTTATCTATTGGCGGCACCACCTATGTAGGTCCGAGTTTAGCCATCGTTAGAACTAAACAATCAGGCGACGCGTCCTACCAGGCAGTTTTGGAGAAATATCCAGAGTTGCAGCAACCGAAGCACACTCTTCCGTGCATAACCAGCAATGTTATGCATCACGTCACAACCACAGGTCCACCTGTGGCATCCAAAGCGCGCCGTCTAGCCCCCGATAAGCTCAAACGGCGAAAAGTGAATTCGACCACATGCTCGAACTGGGCATTATCAGACCGTCAAACAGTCCTTGGGCATCGCCATTGCACATGGTTCCCAAAAAGGATAGCAACGACTGGCGTCCAACCGGTGATTACCGAAGGCTTAACGCCAAAACAACTCCGGACTGCTACCCGATACCTCACGTTTACGATTTGACTGCAACCTTATGCGGAATGAACATTTTCTCCAAAATCGACTTGGTCAAAGCGTACAACCAGATACCTATGGCAGCAGAAGATATCGCGAAAACAGCCATTATTACTCCTTTTGGCCTGTTTGAATTCCTGCGCATGCCATTTGGTCTTCGGAATGCAGCACAAACATTCCAACGCTTTATGGATGATGTCTTCCGTGGTTTGAATTTTGTTCATGTCTACATCGATGACTGTCTAATTGCGAGTCCAGATAAGGAAACTCACCTTAAACATTTGGACCTCGCATTCGAAAGACTTAAAAAACATGGCATCACAGTCAACTTACAGAAGTGTGAAATAGGAGTTGAATCACTCAGCTTCCTTGGGCATACCATTGACAACAAAGGTATACGCCCATTGAGAGATAAAGTGGCGGCTATCACAAACTATCCAGAGCCGACCACTGTGAAACATCTCCGCACTTTCAATGGCCTGGTAAGTTATTACCGAAGGTTTATCCCTAACTGTGCCTCTGTCATGAGACCACTAACAGATCTACTTCGAGGAACTGCGAAGTTCGTGTCTCTGGACAACGCGGCTAGACTTGCTTTCTCTAAAGTCAAGGAAGCCATTTCGAACGCAACCATGCTTATGCATCATGACCCCAATGCTCCTCTGAGTATTGCTGTTGATGCATCTGATTCAGCAATTGGAGCAGTTTTGCAACAGTTGACTGACAACCAGTGGCAACCGTTAGCCTTTTTCTCGAGGCGGCTGCAAGACGCGGAAACAAGATACAGTACATTTGGTAGGGAACTCCTAGCTATGTACTGTTCTGTACGCCATTTTCGACATTCTGTGGAAGGTCGTGATTTCATTATTTTCACAGACCACAAACCGTTAACGTTTTCCCTCAGCTCGGCGTCTGACAAATACTCCCCTCGTGAGTCGCGACAGCTGGATTACATTTCCCAGTTCACGTCAGACATCCGCCACATTTCTGGAGCAAACAACTCCGCAGCCGACGCACTATCTCGAATAGCTTCGATACATCATATCGAGGGTATTGATCTCGTTGAACTAGCTCGGCGTCAAAAGGAAGACCTTGAGCTGCATCATGAGTTGTCGTCCACAACTCTCAAGCTGCGACTTTGTCCGGTTGGATCAGACAAGGATACAATTTTGTGCGATGTCTCTGCTAGTCAACCACGCCCAATAGTTCCGAAGAGTTGTCGACGCAACGTCTTCAATACGTTGCACAAACTCTCTCATCCAGGTGTACGAGCCACCATTAGGCTTATCGCACAACGTTTCTGCTGGCCTGGGATGAACAAAGACGTTAAGGAGTGGGCTCAGTCGTGCTTAGCTTGTCAAAAGTGTAAAGTCACGCAGCACACGAAAAGCCCTCTAGGCCCTTTTCTAGCCCAAATTACCATATAATGAAATTTTTCTAAAAAGGTGAAAATAAGCGTAAATTTTTATTTTTCGACATGTTAATATATAAATAATTCCCATTTTTACAAAACGTTTTCGTGGTATTGAAGACTGTTATTTACATTCCAGGTGCAACGAGCACTGGACGGAACGTCAAAAGGAACTGATGACCTCGATCGACATCCAATTCGCTTTATTGTATTTTATTATTGAATTGCCACGATACCCTGGAACAATGTCAGACAACCAGGGGGCACTTTACGCAGTGAGCCCATTGGAAGAGTTTTACCAGTGGAGAAACCACTGAGTTTTTACTTCCGGCTGGTGTCGTCTTAGGGTCCTCACGAACCCACTAGGGGGGAGTGATCTGTAGCGTCACACACTTCCCCAAAATCAACAGCCTAGGGTTTGACCACCTTCGACATTGGCGCTGACCTTGATAGTTTAACTGGACCCGCTAAGCTGAAGGCACCCGGTCAAGCATCCTCGCCATTTGGCAAGCTGTCGTGTTGCGTCGCACCGCTCGTATTCGACTCTCTAGCCAGTTAGTTGGAACGCATCGGTATTTAGGCACAACTATCCAAATATACTATTCCACCCGACTATGCTATCGTGTTCTTCCTTGGTCTCGTA